GGGGGGACGCTTTCTCTCCTTGCAGGTTGTCCGCAGGCCCTCACCACCGTGGTAGATCCTTGCTTTCCCTTCTACTCTTTCATAGCTTGGGTCACAAACGCTAAATCCAAATTGGGAGCAGTTTTTCTGGTGAGACATTGACGTTTTTCTAACTCATAGTTGGTTTCCCGTTCAGAAACTAAAGAGGATGTAGTGAGGAGTTATCCTGCGAGATGTAACACCTAATTATTAAGATGTCTGTCGTTGGGATGGGGATGAAGGTCATGGAGGCTAGCTTGAGCTTCCAACCGCCCTCGCATGTGGCGGCGGCGGCGGTGCCAGTTGCAACAAGGGTGGTTAACCCTAGCCTCGGTGACTAGGGTTGTCAAAACGGTTTGTTGTTCGCAAACAGTTCGTGTTCGATTCGTTCACTAAGAAAACGAGCCGAACACGAACAATTTTTTTGCTGCTAGATATATAAACGAGTCAAACACGAACAAAGATTTGTTTGTTTGTGTTCGGCTCACTTTGGCTCGAAATAATTAAATTATATATATATATAAATCACATGCTTTGTTTTATTTAAATTCCGACGATAGTATTTTTAAATACTTTAATTTTCTACAAGTCTACAAAGATTTATAATCAATTGAAATTATAAATTAAAAACAAATAACATAAAAAGATATTAAATTATATTTAAATGATGGTTTAATATAAATAAAATAATTCAAATCTTGCTTCTACACTTAACATCCCACAGCTGCATGAATAGGGTTGTCAAAACAGTTTTTTGTTCGCGAATAGCTCTCGTTCGGCTCGCTAAGGAAACGAATCAAACAAGAATAAACTTCGTGTTCGAAATATAAACGAGCTGAACACGAGCATTGATATTTTTTAATGATTCGAATATGAGTTGAGCCCGAGCTTGCTTGTGTTTGGCTTGTTTACACCCCTACTCGGTGGCAGTGGAGTTAATTTGCCAATATCTCAGGCGACGAGAACGCAAGTTGGGCGGCGACAGGACCTCCATCGCAGTAGCAGTCCGTTGGTGCAGCTCTTTCTTATGTTGCAGTACCTTTTGGGTCGGTTGCACCCAAAAGGTACTACAGCGCTGACGGTGATATCCATAAAGCGGGTAGCAGACCGGGTGGTTTCTTGATGAAGCAACAACTGAGAATCGAGTTGGAATCACTAGGGGAGATGGTGGCATGCTCTGTTCGTGCAAATTTCTCACCTCATGTAATCACCATTGTAGCTGTTGATTCTTCTGGTGGCACGTAAGATACGAGGGACGATTTAAGCTTCTCTCTTTTTTTTGGGTCTTTTACTCCATATGATAATGGAGGAATAAGGAGGAGATAAGGCAGGATGAGTGTCTCTTTAGTGAGCCATGATGGTCGGGTTGTTGTGGGAGGAGTTGCTGGTCTTCTGGTCGTTATTTATCCTATGTTGGCAGTGGTTGGCAGCTTCTTACCGAGTTATAAAGTGGAGCAGAAGAGCAAACCTCAGCTCGGTCCTACTAGCACCATCCCGACCGCTGCAATTACCATGTTTCGTATGGAGATAGAGGAGACCTACAACGGAGGGCGAGCACCCCACAACTCTTCAACCCCATAGCTTATCCTTTTAACCTCATCTTCATTTAGAGGAGAAAACTGGTCCGCTTCTCTACATTCCTCGGCACGTGATGCTGAAGAATTCCACTTCATGCTTCAATCAATCCACCGTGGCCTTCCCACATAGCCTTTTTTCTGCATAAGGCCCTCTCCTTTGAACTTTTTTTTTGCAGCAGGCCCTCCTTCAGCAGCAGGCCCTTCTCCAGAGCTTTTTCTGGAGCAGACCCTCCTCCTGAGCTTTTTCCTATATCAGGCCCTCCTGAGTTTTTTTTGCAGCAGGGCTTCCACCGGAATTCTCTTGGAGCAGGCCCTCCGCCAGAATCTTTCCTGCATCAGACCCTTCAAAATATTTCGTGCAACAGACCCTCCTTCGGAGTTTTTTCTGCTGCAGGACCTTCGGTGTTTTTCCTGCAACAGGCCCTATTCCTGAGCTTTTTCTATATTAGGCCCTATTATGGAGCTTTTTTCTGTATCAGACCCTCTTCCGGAGTTTTTTCCTGCATCAGGCACTCTCTCGAAGCTTTTCCTACAGCAGTCCCTCATCCAAAATTCTTCTTGTATCAGGCCCTCCTCTGCAATTCTTTCTGCAGCAGAACCTCTGGTTCTTTTCCTGCATGAGGCTCTCCTTCGGGGCCTTTTCCTGCAGTCATTACTTCTTTGCAAACTCCTTTGCAACAATACCTGTAGGAGCATTCCGCCCATTCACAAACACTGCAAGAACTGCAGTCAAAGACAACCGGAGTAAAATGAAAGTTAGTTTTTTTCCTGCAGGTTGTCTACATCCCTATAAACTCTACTGCAACATTACCTGTAGGAGTCTTCTCCCTACCTACAGATATTGCAGGAGTTGCAGTAAAAAACAATCGCAGTCAACTAGAACTTTTTTTTAGGTTGTCTACTTCCCTGAAAACTCCCCTGCAACATTACTTGTCGCAGTTTTCCGTCTACCTACAAACACTGCAGAAAATACAGTTAAAGATAACCACAGTGCAAGATGAAGACTTAAAGTTCTAGTTCATATGATCTTCCTCGCCCATTGTTTGATGTTATCAAATTCAAGTTGAACTTGGTTTTCAATCATGTTTCAACTTGATGGGGGAATATTGGATGTTATATTGGGAAATAATTTATTCCTATTAGAAGTTATAAGGATTAGATATATTTACTAATATAACTTTATTTCTTTTCCTATTTTAGATTTATTTTCTTGGATTAGATTTATTTCCTTTCCTATTTTACGTTTTATTATTTTATGTTGTCTGATTTAGCTCCAAATAATTAATATGAATTAATTAATTGGAGATATTAGTTCTTATATTTTTCTTTTTTTGTTATTTCTTTTTATTGTCTTTTCTATTCTAGGATTCATGAAGGTTATTTATACTCTGTTTCATATCAACAAAATTATTCCACATTATTCTGAATTTCAACACATACCTTTGGACTCAAATATATATTTGGAGTTTTGAATTTAAGATTATGAAATTGGATAAGTCTGGATATGTTGATGAGGTTTAATTTTCTATCATTGAAGATTTTAATAAATTTGCAAAATAAACGAACCAACAACCATATATAAAATTTAATTAGCTAGATTAGTAGAAATAAATATAATTTCATCAATTAATTTATTGGGAATTATTTTGTCAGATTATTAATGCCTTTCCTGAGTGGATATACTTCAATATGGTACAACCTACCCTAGATTTTATCCTAGAGTTGATTCCTTCCGTCAGACTTGTTTATCAGATACATTCAACAAAGTACGATAAGTAGAAGAAGAATGCTACGGATTAAGGGTTCGAGAGTTACTTTATGGGAATCTACTGCTATATGCAGCTCCAACTGTGATTGTTTCTAAAGAGGATGAATACTAATTCTATCAGGATGTATTTTGGAATGACAACACCTACTTGATTGACTTAACATGAGCTTCCAACATTTCCACTACCTTCAATGGGGCGGCCTGATTATAATGAGGAGACAAAAGTTGCGACAAATGAGGTCGAAGCTCTCCATTCCGGGGAGACTGACACGGGAGCCTCTCACATGAACTTGCCACGATTTCCGCTATAGTTCTACAACTTCTCCCACTATAGTGCGAGATGCCCACGTGACTCCTGTGAGCGCGGGAGACAGGGAAACAAGCTGATCAATCCCAATTTCCCTTTTTTGGATTTCTTTCCTTTTATCTTTCATTCATTTCTAGCTCTTTCTCTTATATGTGTTGTATTAGGTTTGAAACTAGTTTTCTTGTGCTTTGGTTAGGATAACCGTTGACGTTTGTTTTTCTCCGTTCGAGGGTTGTTTCCAAGGGATTGGGTGGTGCTCCAATAGTTTCTCTCTCCTGAGATGGTGAATATTTTTTCTATCCCCTTCGACATCTTCCCCACGACGCT